CAATCCCTGTTGTAGTTGGAGCCCTCGGATTTGATGGAAAAGATTCCAGTAGAATCATTGAAGGGATTCCTGGAAGTCTATGCATTAAAGAAATACAAAAAATTGGTTACACGAGTACTGCCCACGCCTTACAAAGGGCTATATCTATGTAAAATATGTGTGTTTGTGTGTTTAAACTGGTAAGTGGAAAATGTCATGATGTCATTTCTAACCTTATGTCTCTGGGCGGGACCCGGACAGAAATGTGTACACGTCAGAAATCAAAGGAAATAAAATAAAAAGAATAATATTATGCAATTTTTGCGGGAAGAAAACTGCAAAAAAAAAAAAACTGGTATGATCCGAACACAGAAATAGGAACTATAACAATTTTATGGCTCTTTTACAAGGCACAGAGAGAACACTCAAAGCTCGTCTCACAGACCATAAAAAAAAAAACAGAATATGCTTTCTCATTGGCTTGACCATTCCTGCAGACCGTAATGTATCTTTGAAAAAAACTATCAAAATACACGGATCTTCGAGTGGAAGTCTAAAAATTGTGATAAATGCGGAAATCACTGATTCCAATTGTAGTTGGAGGCGCTCGTATTGATTGGAAAATTTCCGATGGATTCATTTAAAGGGTTCCTGGTAACCCATGCCTTAAAGAATGGACACACGAGTACAGTTCACACATTACGAAGGATTTTGTCAGTGTGTGATCTTAGTTATTTCGGTCTGTTTTTCTTTTCTTTTTCTTTTTTACTAAAATGATCAGTGAAAAATGTCATGATGCCATTTCTGACCTTAGGTCTCTCGGGACCCAAAAGGAAATCAAACAAAATAATAATAATAATAATAATAATAATAATAATAATAATAATAATAATTTACGGAGATATATAATAAGTTACGGAGATAGGACCTGTTACAATTCTATGGGACTACACAATACACACTGACAGAACAATCAAAGCCAACCGCCCAGATATTGTTATTAAAGACCACAAACAAAAACAGTGCCTCCTTGTTGATATGGCAGTCCCTGCTGACTGCAATGTATCTTTGAAGATATTCAAAAAGCTGTCAAAATACAAGGACCTTGAAATAGAAATCTCGAAAATGTGGCACATGGGAACATCGACAATCCCTGTTGTAGTTGGAGCCCTAGGACTGGTTGGAAAAGATTGCAGTAGACTAATTGAAGGGATTCCTGGAAGTCCATGCCTCAAGAAGATACAAAAAATTGTTCTAACAAGTACAGCCCACACTTTACGAAGGGCTTTATCTATGTAATTTTTTTTTTTTTTTTGTCAGTGGAAAGTGTCATGATGCCATTTCTAACCTTAGGTCCCTGGGCAGGACCCGGAAAGAAATGTGTAAAAGCCAGAAATCAAAGAAAATAATAATAATAATAATAATAATAATAATAATAATAATAATAATAATGAGGAAGATGATAGAGAAGGGGGAGATTTATCTTTCTTACGTGTTTGGTATCACGGGAAAAAATTTCTTCGTTTGAAGCGGACTGTATTTGGTGCTTCTAATATATATTGCTATAGATATCTACCTACGTGTTGAGCGGCGATGTTGCCGGAAATAGTCAATAGATTCGTTATTTTCATCGACTTTGATGCCACATATTTTCTTTCCTTCAAAAGAAATTTATTTTGAGCGCTACGTTGCTCTATCCTGCGCCAATGAGGCTGTTTCGTTGTCAATATTTCAACTGGCGCAGTGTCCTTTCCAAGCAGATATCTTGAATGCTTTTCCTATAATTGCTACAAAAAAAAACAGGGATAGGTCAAAAAAAAAAACCCAAAAAAACACAAAACAATTCATATGCTAATTGTATTTTAAATCTATCAGTTAAAAGTTTGTTTTTGTTAGTTAAAAAACATTTGGGAATAATTTACGATGTTCCCTTTTCCTGCCGACAGTCAGCATTCAAACTGAATTATGTTGATTCCAGGCTCAAACCGAAAGTAATTCCTGAATCAAAACAATCCATTTATGATATATTTTCTGAAATTAATGTAAAAATGTGTAAAATAATTTTTAGAAGTGCTGCTGATAGGGTTCAACATTCGATTGAACATGAAGGCGAGAATTTTGAACATGTTCAATTGTTTGTTAATGATAAAAATGACTGTCGTTTTGATGTAACAATACATATAAATTTTCTTAAACCACTGTAATTTATTTTATTCAATAAAGGTTACTAAATAAAAAAGAGTGTTACTTATGTTTTTATGTTATATATATATATATATATATATATATATATATATATATATATATATATATATATATATATTATATTTTTATTTATTTTAAAAAATATTTATAAAAATTTATAAAATATTCATTTAGTTTCAACTCAATATCTTATCAAATGATAATTTTGAATTTAAAATAAATGGTTTTCCAAAAAAAACAAAAAACATTTATTTTACATTCAACATCATCACTTGATAAGTCATCAGAGGTGCTGAAACAAAATGGCTATTTTGTTTGATTTATATAACATATTTATGTTATAATTTTAAATAAATAATTATATCTGCTCTACTCTGTATTGAGCACTCTTTTAAGAATAGTAATTGTTGGTTATTGGAATTCATTCCGTATACACCTATCATACACTTGTATATATATAATATAAGTTAATATAATATAATAAACTTAAACACTTATATTCCATGGTTACAATTTATTACATTGGAATCGTAATCACGATCCAATTCATCAAAACCTACAAATTCAATAAGAAATCAGAAAATATAACTCCGGCTAAAAAAAAAAATAATAATAATAATAATAATAGTGAGAGTGTATGTGTGGGAGTGGGAAACAAGTGTGAGAGGGAAATGTATGAAAGCTCTAGAGAGAGGAGTAATGGAAGAAAGAAGAAGAAAGCCCTTAAGTTGAAGATGGGAATTAAAATTTAAAAGAGAGAAGTTTTAGAGAGAGAAGTTAAATAACGGTTTAAGTGAGTGAAGTATAGATTAATATGAATTATATAATTAAATGTGTATATATATATATATATATATATATATATATATATATATATATATATATATATATATATACAGACAGGCTACTTTTTGAAGGACTGAACTACATGCCACAATGTCCCCAAACAACTCTCCACAGGTTTTGAATTCAGAGTTGTACTTCTCCTAGACCAGTTGCCATCCAAGGCTATAGAACCCAGTCTATCCTGCTCTTTACCCTACTGCTCTGAATGCACTTTTAGATTGATTGAGTAATTTGTTTTTTACGGTTTGTCAACCTTTTGCAGGGTCTTTAAAATCAGACAATAATTTTAGATTGGAAGAGTTTTTTTTTTAAGAGATAATAATGATTTTATTGATATAATTCCTACTAATTAACCGATATGCAGTTTATCGCCTTACCCAAGACGCGGATGTAGTTTATCGTCTTACCCAGGACGCGGATGCAGTTTATCGCCTTACCCAGGAAGCGGAGGCAGTTTATCGCCTTACCCAGGACGCGGATGCAGTTTGTCGCCTTACCCAGGACGCGGAGGCAGTTTATCGCCTTACCCAAGACGCGGATGCAGTTTATCGCCTTACCCAGGACGCGGATGCAGTTTATCGCCTTACCCAGGACGCTTTAAAAAAAAAAAAGGAATTACTTTTGACTAATCATATGGAGAAGGAAGGAGAAATGTAGAGGACTAGATTAGAAACGTGAAACCTTTCTGTTTATTTTGGGATGCTTGTGCACTTCAAATATTAAATTCTCTGTAATAAAAGAAACACGGATATTATTTTAAAAACGTAGCCCGCCTACAACAATTGACTCAGAAGAATTGGCTAAAACAGTTTAGGCTAAATTTGAAATCCTGAAACTTTTGTATTATTTCGATATTTTTTGCATGCTTCTACTATTAAATCAGTTGTAAATGAAGAACCGCAGACATTAGGCTTTAAAACACATACAGACACACGCGCGCGCGCGCGCGCGCACCCCACACGCACGCGGACGTTTAAGACAATGGTGCGGACTATGTTGTGGATTAGCTTTAGCATCCTAAAAGGCTTCAAGGCATTTTGTTGCACACACTCTCTCTCTCTCTCTCTCTCTGTGAGAGAGACAGAGATTAAGAGAGGAGAGAGAGATAGGGGGAGGGGAGAAAGCTGGATAGTTAGATATCAACAGATTGTACATAGATAATAGATAGATAGATAGATAGATAGATAGATAGATAGATAGATAGATAGATGACCAGGCTGAGATAGTTAGATGACAAGGCCGAGATAGATAGATAGATAGATCTTAACAGACTGAGATAGATAGATAGACAGATAGATAGATGCGAAAAAAAAATCATTGATTCTGCCATCTAAAATCTCCAAAAGACTGAGAAAAAAAAAAACAAAATAAAATAGAAATTGAAATAGGTTTGTTGCGTTTGTGATAACATTTATTCCTCAATATGAAAGTATTTAATTGCCTTTCGACTAATAAACAACGGTTGTTAACATTATGAATCCACCAGAGTTTTCCCCGTCATCTGCCAGTGCTTTCATGTAGCAAATATATTTGTACGATTCTGGGCACGAACATGTTTTGTCCTTTTTTTATCATCTATAATGCATCTGTTTCATAATGTACTCATTACTTTCAGTGGGCATTCATCATATGCGACTAAGGCAAAGCTGGTTCAGTGCGCACATGACCTTTCTGTTAATACTTCGCTGACAATCGCTGTAAGTGAAATCCAACCGGTTATCGTTCGATCACCGAAGTTAAGCCGCGCCGAGCCCGATAGGGGTACCGTTTGGGGAGAACGGGTACTGTAGGCAACCTCCTTACGCAGCGCAATATTGTTTACAGGACGGTCATGATAGATAGATAGATAGATAGATAGATAGATAGATAGATAGATAGATAGATAGATAGATAAATATAAACAGACTGAGATAGATAGATAGATAGATAGATAGATAGATATGGACATACTAAGATAGATAGATAGATATGAAAAGACTGAGATAGATAGATAGATAGATAGATAGATAGAGATAGATAGATAGATAGATAGATAGATAGAAACAGACTGAGATAGATAGATAGAAACAGACTGAGATAGATAGATAGATAGATAGATAGATAGATAGATAGATAGATAGATATGGACATACTAAGATAGATAGATAGATGAATGAAAAGACTGAGATAGATAGATAGATAGATAGATAGATAGATAGATAGATAGATAGATAGATAGAAAGAAACAGACTGAGAGATAGATAGATGAAACAGACTGAGATAGATAGATAGATAGATAGATAGATAGATAGATAGATAGATAGATAGATAGATATGAACAGACTGAGATAGACAGATACAGATATGGACATAATAACATAGATAGATAGATAGATAGATAGATAGATAGATAGATAGATAGATAGAAACAGACTGAGATAGATAGATAGAAACAGACTGAGATAGATAGATAGATAGATAGATAGATAGATAGATAGATAGATAGATAGATAGATATGAACAGACTGAGATAGACAGATACAGATATGGACATAATAATAGATAGATAGATAGATAGATAGATAGATAGATAGATAGATAGATAGATAGATAGATAGATAGAAAAGACTGAGATAGATAGATAGATAGATATGGACATACTAAGATAGATAGATAGATAATGAAAAGACTGAGATAGATAGATATGAAAACAGACTGAGATAGATGATAGATAGATAGATAGATAGATAGATAGATAGATAGATAGATAGAAACAGATGAGATAGATAGATAGAAACAGATAGATAGATAGATAGATAGATAGATAGATAGATAGATAGATAGATAGATATGGATATACTAAGATAGATAGATAGAGATGAAAAGACTGAGATAGATAGATAGATAGATAGATAGATAGAAGATAGATAGATGAGATAGATAGATAGATAGATAGATAGAGATAGATAGAGATAGATAGATAGATAGATAGATAGATATAGATAGATATGAACAGACTGAGATAGACAGATAGAGAGATGGACATAATAATAGATAGATAGATAGATAGATAGATAGATAGATAGATAGATAGATAGATATGAAAAGACTGAGATAGATAGATAGATAGATATGGACATACTAAGATAGATAGATACATATGAAAAGACTGAGATAGATAGATATGAACAGACTGAGATAGATAGATAGATAGATAGATAGATAGATAGATAGATAGATGAACAGACTGAGATAGATAGATAGATAGATATGAAAAGACTAAGATAGATAAATAGATAGATAGATGAGGGTTGATAAGCTATAAAAAAGAAATCATGCAATAAATTTAGAAAATTATCTCTATATACATATCTATTTAATAAACTGTATATAGTTCCAGAGAGTGCAAACATAGAGATAAAGCTATATGTTTCACGCTTCAAGCTATCTTCAGACCATGTGTATGACGATAAACTACAACCAGCAGAAATGTCCTTGATTCTGGAGATTTTGGAGCTCTTGAGGAGCTTGGAACCACTTCTTAATTTCTGGTGTTCCTAAGTCCAGCCAAAATCATTTGAAACCTAACTTTTACCACCTACCGGATATCCGTTGGGATAATACAATAGACCTTGCTAGCCATATCGCACCATTAACCAGCATATATATAAATAGTCGAGCCGAAACACAAGGCACATTTGCAGAAGATTGCGTCTAAACTTGAAACAGACTGTCGCCTCTTGGTGTTGAACTAATGTTTTCTATCATCATGCTCCCATTTAGTCGAAAAATTATATTATATATATATATATATATATATATATATATATATATATATATATATATATATATATACTCGACTCTTCCGTCGGATTCGACGTAAGAAGGTGAAGGAGATCAGATTCCTAGGAAACCGACAGCCCGACACCGGCACATGAGATTTGATTATAGTGGTGAAGGTTTCCTGTAGGACCATCCACACTTTTTGAAGGGCCGAATACAGAGACCTGGTGCATTATGTGCTACATGGCCCCAAACGACCCTCAGCAGGTTTTTTGAATTCAGAGTTGTCCTTCTCCTAGACCAGTTGCCATCCAAGGCTATAGAACCCAGTCTGTCCTGCTATTTTACCCTAGCTGGAGGGAGAAGAGGATATATATATATATATATATATATATATATATATATATATATATATATATATATATGGTTGTAATGTGGATTTATTTAAAAAATATTATGCTTTATTTTCCATAAGTTTGCTACACGTCTTTACGGTCTCGCGAGCCAATAGGATCGCTAACACACCAAAGAGAGTATGTCTCATATCGAGAAATATTAACATCGAAAAACATAAGAAAATAATTCATTATTTTTAATATGTCCACGCTTTACCTGATGAAGGTTGCGAGACACAGAAGCTCATTAAACTCTTAAATATAATACTACTTTGGTTGAAAAAGTAAATCGTTTTTATCTGAAGTTATTCAACATCGCTTGAAAATGGAACAAAAATTTTAATTCTTATGCGAAAGTATATACCCAAATACAAGTCAACACTGCGGAAATTTTAATTCTGGAAAGCGAAGGCGTAATGAAATAGCGAAAAATGCCTACCAAAAGTCAAGCAAAGTATTAAAAAATAAGAAAATTTTCCTAAAACAAATTAAATAGTGCTGAACTGCGATATATATCTTCCTACATAGTAGTGAATGCTGAGCAATTTCCACACTGATGATAAGGCTACAGACCTGTTGTTCTATAGATGACTGCTGAGAATGCCATGGGCATACTAATATAGATAGATAGATAGATAGATAGATAGATAGATATCAACAGACAGTGATAGAAAGATAGATAGGTAGATATGCACAGAATGAAATAGATAGATAGAGAGATAGATAGATAGATATGAACACAATATGAACACAATGACATAGATAGATAGATAGATAGATAGATAGATAGATAGATAGATAGATAGATAGATATGAACAGTCTGAGATAGATAGATAGATAGATAGATAGATAGATAGATAGATAGATAGATAGATAGATAGATAGATAGATAGATATGAACAGACAGTGATAGATAGATTGATAGATAGATAGATAGATAGATAGATAGATATGGACAGAATGAAATAGATAGATATATAGATAAATAGATAGATAGATATGAACACAATGACATAGATAGATAGATAGATAGATAGATAGATAGATAGATAGATAGATAGATAGATATGAACAGTGATAGATAGATAGATAGATAGATAGATAGATATGGACAGACAGTAATAGATTGATAGGTAGATAGATATGGACATAATGAAATAGATAGATAGATAGATAGATAGATAGAGGAAAGACGGTTTAGAAGATTTAACACTCACAGGTTTTACTGAAATTAAAAGGGTTAAGAGGGAAAACGTCAAGTAATCTACCGCTATTTCAAATATGTGTATCCACTATAATAACGTATGAAGTACCGCATTTCGCTGCTTATAAAACGCCCCGATGCATTATACGCACCCCCCAAAAAAAACTTTTGAAGGAAGAAATCAGAAAAAAGTTTTTTCCTTGCAGTTTATAGCTCTCCCCGCTATCCCTAATGTTACCCCCTGAATAACATATTTCAAAATGAGAACCTGAGTAATGATGATAAATTCACTACAGACCCCCAAAAAGTAAATTCGAAGCGAAGCTTACTGCTGTTGCCGGCCTATGATTTATAGGACGCTGGGTGATTTTTTGGATGTATTTTATAGGGAAAAATATGTCTTATATGCAGCAAAATATGGTACTTTACAAGCTTGTGTAAACGTATGGCAGAACGGTGAATAGGAGGATAGTAAAAAAAAAAAAAAAAAAAAAAGCCGTGGAGAGCCATAATCACCCACGTTCTGAAAGGACAAAACATATATAAAAAAAAAATAATAGAAAACACGCCCCCACCCCAAAACATAAATATTGACGTCTAACACCTCCAAAGCGAAATTGTAATATGAACAATTTGAGAATAAATATGTAATAAAATATGCGTTTTTTTTTTCTGATTCGGTTACATTGTACTTCTGTTTTTATTTTTGTTTTTTTTCGTTTGTTTTTATTTTATTTTATTTTATTTTGTGTGTGTGTTTGTGTGCGTGTGTGTATATGTGAGTGTCTGCGCGTATGTGTGTGTGTAGTACCATTTTTTTATTTTTTTTCGTTACGTTTTTTTTTTCTTTTACCGGAGGGTGTGGTATTGATGATGGCGGTGGCAGGGGGTCTATTTATTGTTGTGGAGGGGAAAAAAAAAAGAGTTCGCTTCAGTTTAACATGAATATCTTTCAT